ATTAATCAGACTAATGTTAATTATTTATTAACTAATGACACTTACAGCACCAAAATTCATACTCATTGGCCTGTTCAGGTCAAAGTTTGGTGGTTGAAGAAATGCGGCCGCAAAATCTGGTTTTGTTTTTGTAGAAAAAAAAAATTAAATTAATAAAGTTGTCAGGAATTAATGATAAAGAGAGTAGGGAGAGGAATACTGTGTAGAATAAACTAAAACAAAAAATCTAAAAGCTAAAATTGAATCTGTCTAATTTAACTCAAGTGAATAATTCTCGAAGAAAAAGATTTATTAAAAATGTTTCGATACACCTGCCAAATCCATACTCCAAGTTTAGTACGACTTATTTTATTCAAGTGAAAGTTTTTCTCATTTGTCACACGGTTGTCAAATAAAAATGTTTTCAACTAATGATTTATCATATTGGTTTTATGGTTTTCTGCTTGACAACTTTTCAAAAATATTGTGATTTGTGATTTTTACTTCAAAATACTTTGCCGTACTGTTTTTTTTATTTTACTTAATTGCTTTAGTTGGAAGCATGTAAGAAATATCGAAAACAATTTTTTTGACAGCTTTCAAAAAGGTTTCAATTTTATTTCATTTTTTTCCCCCGAAGTATATTAAATATTTATAGATGTAAACTCTTTGAAGTATTTTCAAATTTGTCACAACCCATTTCCCAAAGAAAAATAGAAGGAAAATCATAGCAAATACCGAAAATAAGAAAGAGTTCTATTTACTTAAGAAATTGAAAGGAAGTCCCTCGAAATGATATAAACAAAGTACAACAAAATAACAAACGACATCCAAAAATAAACACGACAAAAAATTTTGAGGAATAAAAAATGACATTTAAAGTGACTGAACGGGAAACGTATTGTAAATTACAGAATCGAGTAACATACTTTATGAGCATGAGCTTTGACAGAAAGCAATTTATTGCCTACATCGTGATCCTCGTCATTTCATAAGTGCTTTGAGCTCACGTTCATTCTCAATTTGGGAATAACAAACAGTCTGGATGTTAATGGAATGGAGAATAATGGGATGAAAATGATTAAGAAATGACAAAGGAGCTTGAAAAGGTTATTAAAGCTTTGATATACTTTTGTTAAGTTATCAGGTATCTTATTATTAATAATTTTCGGCCGTAAGTTTTCGGGGATCTTTCATCTAAACGTATTATCACCGAAAACTTTCGGTCGAAATTAGGGATGGAAAAATTTGGGACAACTTCACAGAAGTCTTTGATATTATGTTAAAGCTCATTGAAGAGTCATCTATCTACGACATCCATCAGTTGGGGTGGGGGGGGGGGATAGATTTTGTGACAGTTTAGTATTTAATAAAGATTTATGTGTGACTTATTTGAGCAAGCATATTTTGACAGACGTCAATAGTGAACGTCCCTTAATTTAAAATCATATATTCTAATACAAAAATCTTAAAGATCTACTCACAAATGCTATTGTCCTTCCGATTGTAACTCGCCTTGCTTGTTGTCGGTTTAGCATACACAGTCCAATCGCTTACATTCCTGAATTTATTCTTGAAAATTTTATCAGTTTGTTGAATGTTTAATTGCATTGCAAGATAGAGAAACTCGGATGTAAAGTTCTTTTCCATTCCATAATAATATTTTTTAACTTCTTGCACATTCAGCAATCGTTCATCGTATCCAATAAAAACTTTAAGATTATTTACGGTATTTAGAGCACCAGTCTTAGTTTTCTCATCCATCCACTTGGATGTTCTTATCGTATCACGAAATTCATCGATAATATTTTGCACCATTACCACAGCAACATCACGAGATTCTTTTGGGAAATAATCATTTATGTACATTGAACCTGATGCTAATTCAGCATATTTTCTTGTTATACGTGTACACAGCTTCCATCGTTGCTCACGATCAATCACACCGTATGTTGACTTAAACAGCCTTAAAGTACTCTCGAGTGCATCATCATCAAGGAATTGTGTCGTAAAATCAATGATACGCCAAATAATGTAATTTGCGAACGTTCGTTTAGAAAACTTTGTCTTTAAATCTTTAAGATTATCGTAAACACTTTTTGTATAGTCAACGAGCGTACTTCCAACAGACTTTAATTTAAATCTATCAAAAATTTCAATCCATCTCAAAAAATCCAACTCAATTTTGAGTTCTTTTTGTTCAGCAGCTCTTATTTGACTTCTTGGCTTGAAATTTCGTCCATTGAGTAATTGATTCAATGCTTTACCGAGTTCAAGTGCCTCATTGAGCTCACTTTGTACGGATGTTGTATTTAGTGCACCCAAAGCTGTTGCAATTTGATACATAAAAATTGGATATTCGTGCTCAAGTGCTGTTTGCTCATCATTCTCAATATTTTTTGTTATGGCTTGAACATCATCATCATCAATGTTCCCGTTGTCAAGTCCATCAAAAATTTCGTCACGAAAAATATTCTTACCATTGCCGATTCCAACGAAACGTCTTAAAGTTAATAAAAATTTCTCCCATGTCCAATTCTGCTCGTGCCAATTAGACATAAGAATCGGCCATCCTCCTAAGGCATCAAGAAGGTTGTGAACTTTTTGATATTTTGTTGATCTTATGCTGTCTGGTGTAAAGGATATTAGAAATAACTTGATAACTCATGGTAAAATTGGATGTGAGCTTTAAATGTATTTGCTAGTTTAATCTCTCGTCGTGCATGACTTGAAAGTTCAAATTGATTGAAAAATAATTTTATATTGTGTCTTTACCCCGAATGGCACAAGTCGGATAATCCATCCAAAATCTGGAAGCAAGCCAGTTTAAATCTGGATTTAAATCGAAGCCAGCACCATGCTAGAGTCATGCTGGCTTAGCGTCGGATTCTTATTCGGTTAACCGACTTGTGCTATTCGGCTACCCTTAACACAAGTTTTCACCTAATTAGCTTAAAAGTAGAGGAAACATTTGGCTGCATCTCTGTTCCTCACTGTTACAGTTTATTATATTGTTGGAAATTATTTCACAAAACTGCAAATGTGTCATGAAAAGGAAGTGTTAATTAAAAGTTTATAATTTCCATAATAATTGGATGTGACATATTCTCCTGAGCAAAACATTAAATATTCATTATTATTCTCAAACTAAGGCTATTCAAAATTTCTAAATAAGTAAGTTAAGTCATCCTTTGTTTATGAAGATATATGAATTATGAATTATTGTAACTCCCTGTTTTGTTTCTTGTAATGAAGTTTTTCATGCATTGTTTACTAGAGGTGAAGAATTCACTCCACCAACCATCCCCAACCCCACCTGAAGTTCAGGCTTTAAGAACCTAAAGAGTTCTACATTATTTTTAGAAACAAAACCAAAACTTCATAGAAATGTTTTTACAATAAACAATTCATTTATCTAAACATGAATTCACATTTAAGAACCCCCAGCAGATCAAATCTCTAATGAACAATCAACACCTCACCTAGATCCATACAGTTTTTATAAAGTTGTTTCGCAAGTTTATGCGGCCACAGCTCAGAGCTATCAATTGGTTTGCTCAAAATTCGAAGCAAATTCTCATCAAGTTGATCTATCAACAACGACTCTGTATTTACAATCGATTTTTCATCGGGCGTGTAGGTTGTCTGTATAAATTTATTGCATGCGAAACTATAAAAGTCATCACACCTGCAACAGAAAATTTAAGTTTTTTAAATGTCAGTGAACTTAATTTGCACATGAAATTGAATTTTGATATGTTTGTAGACTGAACGAGATATCATGGGAAAAGAAAATGTATATAATTGATGTTCCGTTGCTCCTCGTCAATGACTGTGTTAACCTTTATGTGAAATTCTAAGTATAGCATGGTTCTATGACATTCATGTTGTCTAGTCATTAACATTTTGTATGTTAATAAAAGTTTGAAAAACCCAAAGTTGTCATTTTACTAAGGCAGACAATTGATGTTAACTTGCAAAAACATAATTTTTCATTCAAAGCTTTCCTAAAATTCAAAACTCAATTACAACGCTCAAAGCATTTAAAACTTTTCTAAGCAGACTTAAAATTTAATTTATATTTCACAAAGCTAATTCACATTCACCAACACAAGCATGTGTACGCTTTAGTCTCACACAATAATTAATTAATTTCATTTAATTCCCCTTACGGATTTATTTTTGGGTTAATTCTTGATAATAGTGTGGCTGAAGCATGAACACATCCGATACTTGCACACTCCTTATATTGCTTATGACAAGTTGTAAGTTTTGAACTTTCAAGCAGCAAAATTAATGTCAAAAGTGTAAAAGTTTTCATTTTATAAAGATATTTCAGCTTTGAATAACTTTGATTGCTGATGATGATAAAGATAGAGAAAAGAAATCGATTTCGAGTCACACGTTGTGAATGTTTACACGATACTGATGGATATGTTTTTTTTCTTCGAATGTTTCGCTGCTTCATAGACATTTTGAGTTGAAAAAAATATTGAGAAGGTTGAGAAAGAGAATTGGAGTGCGATGAAATTCCAAAAAGCTAATTAAGGAGGATATTAGTAGCAGAAATTAAAATCAACTTGTAATGCGCAGTTTAAATTTTCTATACTACTTGCTTGCTTCCTTGGCTGGGCGCACGTGGGCCCATTGCCGCGTTCAGAGATCGTCTAAAGACAGCTCTATCCTTCGACTTCTTCTGCCAGTTCGGCATATTAATTTTCTATGGAGTGACAAAACCTCAGTTTCTCCCCTCAAAATAAAAATTACATTATAGGCGAATGACTCCTAATAGGTTCTACATTTTAATTGCATGTCAATTATTATTTTTGTTCGTCCCAAAATGTTCATAACGCGTGTTCATAATCTGCGGTTCTTTCAGCGTATTCATTTTTACTTTATTCATAATTGATGTCCAACTTTTGATGAGGAGTCTGTGGTACAATTCCTTACTCAAAAAACTTTTATTTAAAAATTGCATAACACTTTTGTAGCTTAAAAATTCAATTTTATTCATTTTCGTCATTTATGAATGACTTCATACATCTAGTTTGACTGGTTTTCTTCCAAAAACACTTAATTAAGGTTTCATAGATTTAACTTCATTAATCTTTACAATTAATTACCACATCAACCAGCTAAAGTAGCTATAACAGCAGCACTTAAATCATAATCATCATCGAAATTTTCCTGTGAATATTCTGTAGTGAAATCATCAGTATCTGACGTTGGTGTTGATGTTGGCGTAAATCCAATTGAATTTGTCTTATAATTGTTATTGTTTGAATGGAGATAATTAGTTGGCAGTGCTATAAACAAGAAATTAATTTGGTTAATTGATTTCTTCGCCGTGTGGTCGAACGACATTGTTGTCAAGGTGATTAACATAAAAGTTTACGTACCACTTATTTGAGTGCTTAAATGAATGAGAATGACGATTAATAAGTATACGAAAGTCTTCATTATTGCTTCGCTTTATTGCTATGCTTCCTTTACTGTCCGTATAGAACTGAATGCTGTAAGATACTAACATTCTCAATGGATTGTTAAACAAAAAATTAAGAGTTGTTTCTGCTGTTCCTCACTGCTGTTTTGAATGGAATAGAAGTGAGAATATTTTTAAAACAATTTTTATGAGCTTTAAAGCTACCACAAACAATTCAATTATTTCTTCTCTTGTTTTTGATGCTTTGTTAAGTGATAAATCGTGTCCTGGAAGTACGCGGGCAGGATATGTCCAATTGACTTGAAACTCTGCATGAATATCTTCCTAATATAGGTTATTTTAGGTCATCAATCAAAACGTTTTGGTCATGCTTAGTTCCCGAGATACAACATGTGCCATTTTGTACAGCCACAAAATTGGAAGTACGCGGGAGACTTTTCATAAAAACATGAAATTATTAAGGTTATGTATCAAAAAACATCTACGATTTATGTCCGATCTATATTAGGACAATATTCAGGCAGAGTTTAAAGTCGATTGGACATATCCTACCCGCGTACTTCCAAGACACGATAAATCGACTTTTACGTGTCGCAAGAAGTGGTTTTGATTCTGATTTTGTTAAAAAATTTGAAGATGAAGTTTTGAAACGTTTTAAAATTTAATAAATCTCGTCAAAAAAAAGAGTTAAAAATTTCATTCGCTCATTATGATAGGGGAGGGGATAAGCAAAATAATTTTCAACAAAACCTTTTTTTTTTGAAGCCCAAAGTCATTCACGTCTGTATTAAATCTCCAAAGCATAGCGATTTACCACAAACATTTTTCGTGTAGCTCAATTTAATTAGATCAACAAGCAAAATGAAAAAAAAAATTGTTCTGCATTTTTGTGCTCATGACAACTTGTGCCGTCTGTGTACATCAAGTATAATTTATTTCTCCACCGAACCACTAATTTATTGCTAATTGCATAAATTATAAATCCACATAGAATTATTCTTGCTTTTATTCAACATATGGGAACATGAGACTTAACAAGGAATGTACAATTAGAATTGTCATGACAATGAGAATGAAATTGAAATTTTTTTCATGATAAATAAATCAAACAACAGAAGGAAATGGATATGAGCAGGAGCTTTTGAGTCATAAATATTTTTTTATTGTGAATAAATTTAAATTTTTTGTTGCTGTTGCTCTATCTTATACCATAAATTTGTTGTCATTCTCAATAGGATTGTTTACTTATTACGTCCATCAAAAATGCGATTTACAGATTTAAGAAAAAGGGGCTTTTTACAAAGTTTCAATATATAATTTTTTTTGGAAATGTTTCAAGTTATTAAATATCGAAAGTCCTTCATGATGTACATCATATTTGAATGAACCCTAAAATTTTCATATCATTATTATTTTGATTATTATTTTATTGACAGAAAATTGCTAGAAAATAATATTTATGGAAATTGTCATCCAACTAGTAACTTTTATCATGCAACTTTGTATGCTGTAGACACGTTGTACAATACAATGAAAGATGATGTTATAATGCAATTGGATTTGAATAATAACATAGGGTTTCTATTGGATTTTAATAGGGGCTGTTCACTTATTGCGTAACCCCGAATGGCACAAGTCGGTTAATCGATAAGAAATCCGGAACTAAACTGGTGTGACTCTGGCATGGCGCTGGATTTAAATGCCAGAGTCATGCCGGTTGGGCACTGGATTTTTTTTTTGATTAACCGACTTGTGCCATTCGGGAACGCTTTAAGATTTGAAAATATTTGAGAGTTCAAACAAAGAAATTTTTTTTCATAGAAAATTTTGTAACAAGTGGTGGGAGGAGGTCAAAAAATCCTGTTTTTTTGCGTTACGTCATAACTGAATGGACATAAAATATCATTTCAATTTTATGAATTTTCCTTTAGGGGCTGTTGACTTATTACGTAACGCGAAAAAATGACTTTTTAGACCCCCCCCCCCCCCCCCCGTAACAAAATTTGTATGAAAAAAAAATTTCCTAGTTTGAACCGTAACAAAATCTTAGACCCCCCTCCCCCCTAAAAGCGTTACGTAATAAGTGAATGGCCCCTTTGAAGTTTTGAAGTGTTTTTTGCTTAAGAAAGCTTTTCTTTCAACCTCAAGAACTTCTCGACTCTTTGTGACTTTCATGTTCTTTTGAAATCTTACAATAAGATTTAAAGCAATATGCATTTGTCAGCATTCATTTTATCCTGGTTTTCTGTTTCCTATACACACTCTTCCCTTGACGTGTCAAATAAAATAATTTTAAGAGTAAAAACATGTGAAAAATACTTTTAAATGTTTCACGGGGGACACTTCAGCAACACATATTTTTACATTTTATTTTCCATTTGATGACTCTATGCGGAGTAATTTTCGCTGGCTTTTTAACAGCAAACATGAGTTTAATATTGATCTAAATTTACAGCTTAAACTGTCGTGTGATATTTGTTGTGCGGGATTTTGTTTCGTGCTGCTTTTTAGTACAAACATGATTTTAATTTTGTGTCTGGTTGACAATTAGATAAAAATTTGTCTCAAAAAAGGAACTCGAAATGAATTATCTAGATTTTATTGATGCTTTTCTTTATGGTTGAGTCCAAAAAATTTAATAACTGCTTTTTTATTAAATACACATTCTAAAGGTATTTGATGTAAATAGCCATGCTCTGGATCTTCATGACTTCCAATTGAAATATTTAGAGACGATAACAAATTTATAATTTTCAATTTTTGTTGCTGTTTTGCATAAAACATGATCGACTGATTATTTCTATTACAAAAGTGTCTCAAATGAGGATGTTGTGTTATTTCTGTCGTTAAATTTTCTATGTCATCAATTTGTGCATAACTATGAACTTTCTCACACATATCTATAAACTTTTTCACTTCCTCTGATGCTTTTTCATATTTAAAAGCGACATGTGGTCCTGGAAGCCTTGAGTTTTTATTAAGCAAGCTCAAAATGATTTTATTACTTCGACGTCTTTGATCTTCTGTATCACTTCCTACTGTGTAATTCTGCCATGCTATGTCGATTGCAGAGAATTGTATATTTTTCATATGACATCCTACAATCACTAATGTGTTGTTAAGTGCATACATTCCGCTTATACTTTCATTAAGGTCAAAATTGTACGGAAGCAATTTATCAACAATATCGTCACGACTTTGTTCTGCTGCCATTACAAGAAAATTGTGGCCCATTCCGCTGTAAAGATCAAATCCACTGGGAATCAATTTTTTAATTAGATTCTCAGATGTACCCTTAGGAGCCATTAGAAGGAAATGATGTCCAATTATTCTATGAAAATCTCGAATATCAAGTTCTGACTTAGATTCAAATGATGATAAAAGTCCTTAAAATAAGAGATTAAAATTAGAAAATGACTAAAATGAGCCTTAATTATTGAAAGAATTTATTCTTACCATTTCTGTTATTTTTCACTTCATGCACAATGAAGTTTTGAAAAAAATCAGACAAAATTTTATCTGAAAGTTCAAACGATAAAAATTTATTATCTCCAGCGACTTTCCAGTAAAACTTTTTCCTTTTTCCAACTGTCGAACTGAATATGACAAGAAATGATTTTTCATTAAAAATGTCTGGATCAAAATGGAAGTCCTTAGTGTTTTCAGGCAGCTCTTTATTAATTTTGAATTCAATATTGAAAATTTTGTTACTGCTTATAATTTTGTGACGAAACCATGGCGTTTTTAACAGATCGTATGCTTGTGATAATGATGGTGTCTCGTGAATTACGAGCTTTTCAAAATCTTTATGCTTACATCTTTTGCGATACTTATTCCTGTCTAGAGGATAATTAACATCTACGGGTGAAATGCTGAGTGTTAATTTGGAAGGCCTGAAATGTTTTGATAATTATTTTTCAATTTATTCTTTTTTTATTATTTAAGAAATGAGCTTTATGTGGTAATCGAACTTTCATCGACGCAAGAGATGCAACATGTCTTACTATTGCACTATCAAATTTGTCAACTGTTAAGAGACTTTTATTGTTAATATTAAATACCTTTTGAATTGCTTTTCTCTAATCCAAAAGTATAAGCAACTCATTTTAGAAAGCTTTTTAAATTTTGATCAAATTTTGAAACTTTTGAAATAAAAAAACACGAGAAACTCTCTTAGTAACTAATATAAGTACGTCTTTGCGACTTGAAGATCTACTTACTAGTGACTTAAGAAAATAAAAAATAATTTTTCCTAAATGTTTGAGCAAATAAGCACCAGTGTTGATCACAATGACGTAGATAGAAAATGTAATATTATTTTAGATGTATCATACACCAATTTTATTCTTAATTCTGTTTATCAATGTTATATTTGTCGTATTTACTTTTCAACCAAATCTAATTTTAACTTAGGGTGACCATGTGGATTTTGTGAAAAACAGAATATTGCTTAAACTTTGTTCTAAATTGAGATTTTTTTAATTGCACTTCATTGCATTTATTGACGATATACTGTCCGACTCGGACCATACAAAAGCGATGAAAATCGCGATTTCGAACTCTAAAAATTACTGAGATAAAACATTTTTCAGCGCATTTTTGAAACTTGTTTCTTAATAAAGCTTAATAATACACTTTGTTCGGCTGTTCGGGCGAAGAAAAACTTTTTAACCAGACATCGAAGAAAGCTCGGGTTTGTTTTATTTGCTCAGTTCTATCGAGCTATTGGTCGATCGAACAGTTTAAAGTTTTAAAACAGTGTTTTTATACTTCAATCAATGATTTTTTTATTTCATATGAAAAACACGTAATAAATGCGTTCTGAAATTTGAATTATTTTCTACCGTTGTAAAAATTGTGATCAGGGTGCGCTCAGAAATTTGATTTTTTTAAACTTAAAACCGATTTAAATAGTCATCCTAACCATAACATTTACAAGCAGTAGAATAGAATGTAATGTAGGGTTTTGCTCAGAGCAAAAACGGCACTGCGATCGATGATCTGTTGTACCATCCCAAGCCATCTATGATAAAATTCCTATGTCCTTGATGAAGCCAATAATGTCCTGATAGTGCTGCCTACTAGTATCCTCATCATTTATGTAATCCTTATCAAAGTGCTTGACACGTTGTACTCGTAATGCTCTGCATTTACAAAGAATATGAATGATTGTTTCCTCATTTACTTTACAAAACCTGCAAATTTTACTGTTAGACAAATTCAATTTAAAAAGAAAACTATTGATACTCATGTGTCCTGTCAAAGCACCAATTAAGATGCTAAGATCTTTCCTTGGTAGTCTGAGAGCATCAGATATTTTGTTCTTATTTTTAGGACCAAGAAGTCTTTTGGCTGTCATGGCTCCTTCCTCTAAATTCCAGATACGAAAATGCTGTCTCTCCATCCATTCTCGTATGTTTGACTTCAACAAGCCAAACCCATAGTACGTCGACTTGTCATAAGCTTCATTGTGTACTGCTTCTTTAGCTAATTGATCAGCTATTTCATTACCTTCAATACCACTGTGTCCAGGTATCCATTTTATGATGACTTCATTTTCTTGCCCCAATGCTGTTAAACAAGAAATACAATCAAGAACTGTTAAAGACTTCACAACACAATTGTTTAAAGCCGTCAAAGCTGATCGACAATCTGAAAGAAAGCAAATTCTACAGCCTTTCAAATCCATATCCAAACAGTAATTAGCACCCTCACAAATAGCTTGAACTTCTGCCTGAAAGACAGAAGCATGATCTTGCAGTTTGTAGGATGAATTCAAACTCAGCTCATTGCTGAACAGACCGATGCCAACACCACTTTCTGACTTTGATGCATCAGTGTATACAGACATACAATTACTATCCACCAAATCACAAGATTCAGCAGCATTATCTTCTGATTCAACTACCTTAAAAGGTTTGTCAAAAACGTATTTTGACACTAAATGATCCGATTCAAAGGTGAATAAACTTACACTTCTTAGAAACCGATTTAATTCCATGTGACCTGTTGAGATCCAGTCATTAACCCACAATTTATTAACCTTCAATTTGGATGCGCCTGTTTGAGCTGCAGCTTCGATTCTGACTCGAAGTGGGGGAAGCTCAGGGAATCTATCCAAAGCCAGTTTCGGAGTAGTTTTCCAAGCACCGCAAATTGTCAATTCTGCTATTCTTTGCAGTTTCTCAATTTTTTGAGAGGCATTAACTTGTTTCATTTTATGCCACCAAACAACACAACCATACATAATTCTTGGTAGAATGACTTGCTCATACAGCCAATACATCATATTGGGTTTTAATCCCCAGTTTTTACCAACAATTGATCTACAAGCCCAGAAGGACTTAATCACCTTACTTACAACGAAATCTACATGCAAATTCCAGTTTAATTTGCTGTCTAAGTAGACACCAAGATACTTTGCTTCATAACTGAAGTCTATCCTTTGACCGTACATAACTGGACGACGTAGTTCTCCTAATTTGTACTTTGTAGTGAAAGGAATTACAATTGTTTTTGCTGGATTTACTGATAAACCAACCTTTTCACAAAAACCTTCCACAATGTTTAAAGACCTCTGAAAAACATCTAATACTGTATTAGTGAATTTGCCCTTTACTAAAATGAAAATATCATCAGCATAACCTTGGGCAAAGATGCCCCCTGAACCATTTAGATCTACCAATAAGTCATCAATAACTAATGACCACAAAAGACAAGACAAGTTGCCTCCCTGTGGTGTACCACGTTTCACTATGATGAATACGATTTCCCCGTTCAATGATGTTTGAACGATTCGCGATCTTAGCATATTGCTGATCCACTGTACTATACTTTGTGGAACTCCTCTTCGGTAAGCAGTAACACTGCTGTGTAACATTCGAAGAAGAGAAAATATTTATTTAAAATTCGTGACATAAGTATTTGATATTTTAACATGTGCTAATCACTATAAATTGATATGTTTACAATCTTCAGTACCAAATAAAAATGTGATTTCAAAGAGCAATTGCAGTTTTTAATATTCATTGATGAGGGTTCAAGAATTTTGTGATAGTTTGAACAAAATATTTTTTTATTGAAATATTTCTTAACAAAGACAGAGGCAGGTCAAACTCGAACATTAAACATTTCACATTTTTCGAAATAATTCAAAATCTTTTATAAAACTTTCAACAAAGTGAATTTATAAAAGCAATATAAACTTTTCAAAAGCACTTCCAAAATTTATGTTGTTTCAATCTTTATAAATCCATTGTTTAAAGAAAAGTCAAACTCTTTAAAGGTTAAGGATGAGAACAAGTTGTCATGGTTACTGACCTTTTCCAAATTCTTGATCTTTTTTAAATCTTGCTCGTTAGGTAGGAATTTTATTGAATATTTTTGTGGGCATAAGTATTTGCCGATTGAGTTATCATTGATGGTGGTTTGAAGATGGAAATGAATTATTGAGTTTAAAATAATTATTAAGTTTTTAAAACCAAATCTAAAATGTTTTATTTTTGCAAAAATTAGAAAACAAATATAATATAATATAATATATTATACTCAAAAAATTCCAAAAAGTCTCTAACTCAGCATGGTAACCTAAAATACACGTGCGTTACCTTTACAAACTCATATCAAACTCACAGTTCCTTTCCTTATCATCATTTTTTATGTTCATGATGTATAACACATTTACATGTTTCTTGCTTAATGATGTAGACATAAAAATAAATTGTTGAAGCTTTTCTCTTTACTTCTTGATTTTGTAGACTTATGTTCAATAAGACAATAAAGTAAGCGATGAATGAAGATTTAAAAATGATGAAAGCAAAGAATAAAGTTCAAACTTTTAGTATGTACAGGCTGATAGGTTGTGTGACAGAGATAGAAACATATAATCAACATTCCTATAGTGCATATATTGTGGAAGGTTCGGATAAAAAACAGGATTATTATGATGATAGAGATGCTTTTGCGGTTGAGAAAAGAATATGAGAGTAGAAAATTGAATAAATCTGTCATGCGGAATTTGTTGAGGTTGAGAACGAAGCACTCAAGTCATATTCACGTCCTTAGTCATGAATAAAAGTAAATTGAGATACTTTTTTGAATGGTTAAATTAAAAATGAAAAGTTTGAGGTAATATTTTTGTGTGTGTGAAGCTGGCGGGAACAGGTTCTCAGATCAAGTTGAAACTTTGTCAGAATTACGTCCATATTACGTCCATTTACGTCCCGTAATTAAATATTTTCGTCCTACTTCCTATGACTGGATATACCACTTTCAATATTTGGGTATCTTTCCCGCCAACTTCACTTTTTCAGCGGGAACCAATTACGAAATTAATTTTAATTATACATATTATATATCAAAACTGATCTCCTAATTACGTCCAATTTCGTCCTGCAAAAATTTTTGGAATCGGATATAACCAGCAAGAGTTATGGACTGTCAAAGTTTTGAACAGTACTACTTGTGGACCAATATTTTTTCCTATTAAATACTTATCATGTAGTATATCAAAACACGTCTCCTTTTTGTAAGGAGCTTAAATCTGATGGAACTATTTAATTCCAATCTGTCATTTTGGACTTGTTGCAGTTCCAGTTCCATCTCGTACCTGAACATCATCAAAGTTTCAAAAATTTACTAGGACCATAATGTATGTCAAAATATATTCATTTTTTCTCAGTATTGCTAATCGGAAGGAATTTTTTAGATTATTTCGCCATTTTAAATTTTTGGCAGTTCCTGTGCATTCTAGCCTTGTACCTGAGCATGTCCAAAAATTTTAAAAAAAAAATAAAAAAAAAATAAACATTTTTTTAATTTTCAATATAAAGATTAGGTTATCGAATCTCAAAATTTTTAAAAACTTTTAGAGTATTCAGGTATGTAGGTCATTAATACAATTATTTTTTAACGAGGAAAAAAATTTTAATTTTCAATAATAATTGCCAATCAAATTATTTTGGATGTCAACGCAAACTGTAATAAATCCAAATCTACCATCAGGATTAAAAAATTTCCTCAGAATTTGAATTAATGAGAAAAAATCCTTATGATTTGATGCATAACATGTCCTTTTTTTATTTTTCGAATTTTTGGACATACTCAGGTACGAGGCTAGAATGCACAGGAACTGCCAAACATTTAAAATGGCGAAATAATCTAAAAAATTCCTTCCGATTAGGAATACTGAGAAAAAATGAATATATTTTGACATACATTATGGTCCTAGTAAATTTTTGAAACTTTGATGATGTTCAGGTACAAGATGGAACTGGAACTGCAACAAGTCCAAAATGACAGATTGGAATTAAATAGTTCCATCAGATTTAAGCTCCTGACAAAAAGGAGACGTGTTTTGATATACTACATGATAAGTATTTAATAGGAAAAAATATTGGTCCACAAGTAGTACTGTTCAAAACTTTGACAGTCCATAACTCTTGCTGGTTATATCCGATTCCAAAAATTTTTGCAGGACGAAATTGGACGTAATTAGGAGATCAGTTTTGATATATAATATGTATAATTAAAATTAATTTCGTAATTGGTTCCCGCTGAAAATGTGAAGTTGGCGGGAAAGATACCCAAATATTGAAAGTGGTATATCCAGTCATAGGAAGGAGGACGAAAATATTTAATTACGGGACGTAAATGGACGTAATATGGACGTAATTCTGACAAAGTTTCAACTTGATCTGAGAACCTGTTCCCGCCAGCTTCACACACACATATTTTTTTATTTAAAGCAGAGGAAACCTTTCAGGAAAAGTTAGTAATTAAATCAGGATAAATTAAATTTATAAAATGCTGACTGCTAATTAGAAAAGTGAAAAATGTTGCAGACTATATTGCAGTGACAAAGGCGAATGTAGGCTATTTTTTGTCACTAGACATTGATTAAATTTTAATTTATTGAAAATTTAAGACAAACTTCTCCTTTTGCGGTCTTTTTTAAATCTTTAAGCTAGTCTCAGTATTAGAAAATTCAAGTTTAAAAATATATATCCTTACTATGACGCAACAAAAAGCTATACTTATGTGGAAGTTAAAATTACCACAAACATCATTCTTCATTACTTATCTTTTGTATTAAGTCTTATTTTTCATCTCACATAATTCTTAGAAGTTCTACCTAAAACTCAAATTTGATAATCTTAAAATAAATATTTCAAAATTGATAAAAAAGCCTCAAAGGTAATCAAGAGATCAATAAGTGCTTTGTCATCATCACAACATGAAAATTCAATTTTCAGTAAGTAAAGAAAATTTGCTGTTAAAAAAACGTGCAAAATCATTTAACAGTATTTAATCATCGTGAATTGATTTTTGATCAGGACTATTAAAATTTTGATCATAAAAAAATTCAAAAATTTCTTTCACAAATTCATATTTTTTATTAAAATTAAAGAATCATCAAAAATGTAATCTCCCAAAGGAAGAAACATTTCAATTCCTTCACATTTCATTTGACAAAAACATTTTTAACTGTCTATCAAATAACATCGCATCCCAGTTGATTTAAACAATAATGTTCGCATCAATCCATCTTGTGTAAGAAGATACACGTGCATAAAAGTCAGGAGCACCTCTAGCACAACCTTTTAAAAATAAAATAAATGAATATATTCAAAAAATTTGAAACATTTAATGCTTTGATAAATTACTTAATCCAGACACAACAACGCCCAAGACTTCACCGTTTCGTCTGTTAACTAATGGTGATCCACTATCATGGAAGGAAAGTAATTGTAAAATTTATTGATTTGCTGAATATTTAACAAAAAAATACTATAAAAAAAAACTTTTTTAAAAAAGCACGCTTTTATTTCCCATTACAGTGCACTAAAAAGGAGAAAATAATTTTTTTCTGAGAACTCAAATTTGATACAAAATTTTATGACTAAAAATAAAAGCGTGGGGCGTTTAATTTAAACCAGTTCTAGATTTTCTATAATATATTCACAAACCTAATGCTTTTGTAAACATGTATGGATGATTTTTAATTGTCACATTTCAAGATTTAGTGATGCATGCAAGAATGCCCCACGCTTTTATTTTTAGTCATAAAATTTTGTATCAAATTTGAGTTCTCAGAAAAAAATTATTTTCTCCTTTTTAGTGCACTGTAATGGGAAATAAAAGCGTGCTTTTTTAAAAAAGTTTTTTTTTATAGTATTTTATTTTCTACTTTTTAGTTTTATCAAATCTATAAATCGATTCAACTTCCAAAATTTGGAGTTTTTGTTTTATTACAACACTGACTTTATCAAACTTAATAAGAAGGTTACAGTTTTTAGATTACAGGAAGTTTTAGACTCCACTTCGTTTCACTCCGTTTCGTTCAACTGTTTATAAATTACCAGTTTTTAATAGGCAATTAGTAAAGACTGTCAAAATTTTTCATTCGTTTTAAATTATTTAATTCATACCTGAAAATACATGAAACTCCTTTAAAAATGTCCTAACTTCAAATAAAGATTTTGCGTTTATCCGTCCCATTCCTACTACATAACATGTAGATTCTTAACATAAAGATGCAAATCACATGTATACGTAAAGTATTTATAACGGATTTTTTCAAATTTAAATTTAATGAATGTCATTTATATGATATGCAAAAATATGTCAAGCCGTTAATAAATAGAATAATTAACATAATTAAATTGGTGAAGTGTTATAAATATTGTAAAAAAATTAAAACAGCATAAATGTATGCTCTAAATATGTGTGCTAAATGCACATCGCATATTGATAGTTATTTTGCAATAATTCGTAACGGACTTTTGCTTAACAGTTTTTTTGGAAATTCAAATTTTCACTTACGAATATTTATGAAAAAATTACTTGTCAAATTTTTTGTCTTGCCAAAATATCTTTAGCTGCTCAAATTTATAGTAAAATTAATAATTAGTAATATTACTTAAACTTTAATGAATCATATAAATGACTTTTGAGCATTTCAAGTATAATATTTTAAACAAATCAAAATTTCATATCATTGACAATGAATTTTTTCCCATATAAAAAAGTTTCACTTAAATTGTACTATAATTAAGCATTTTTGTGGTTCCAAAGTGTTACAATATTGTATTGTCACCGGGAATACGTCTGTATTCAAAATTTGAGCTCGATTGGAGCAATAGAAGTGGTCGAAAAATCGATTGCAAGATTTGACGCTCCATAACAGAGTGAGTTAAATAAAAGCGTGTAATAAAATAACAATAACCAACCTGTCGCCATAGCATCCACCAACACCAACACTGAAAATTATTTAAAATTGTTATTTGTCGATTCATGTGGAATTAAAAAGGGTCACAAATAGATGGGCTGTAGATTGAAATGCGTATTGTTCTGCTTAGGGAATTAAAGGATATCAGGATGGGCTTGAGAAAGGCAAGATTTTTTTAAATATGGAATAATGATTAGATTACATTTATTAAGGAAGAGTTTCATAAAACTGACCGAGGTATATTTTATTTAAAAAATTATACAAAACTTACCTAGCAAAAGCACAGATGTGTGCGATATGAATGCTTGGATTATAAGATGGATCAATTAATCGTGCCAAAAAACTTCTTGTTATACATTCAGAATTTGACATTGTCCTTGAATGCAAATATTGAAGGTGTGGATGAACTTCCCATGGTGGTTGTTGTGTAAAAGCTCCATGTCCTGCAAGCACAGTCGGTGTATTCATAAGGACACGGCGACGATTCAATGGTACTGGTCGTATAAGATTTGTAAAAACTATGTCTCGTTCGACTTTGTAGAGACCGATGCTGAGTTAAAAATCAAAAATGGATGTAAAGCAGATTTATGATTAGATATAACAATACATACTCATTCCACAAGCGTATCGGGTCAAAATCAGGATGTGGAATAGATTGAATTATTGTAAAGCGCACACCAGGATCCACTAAAAGTATTGCACCAGCAACAGCCATTCTCTCTTGTCCATTTAAACAATGTGCTGCCTGTGAGGGATAAAATGTGAAATATACAATTTATGATTGTAATTTGGGTAGTATTTTTAAGAATGAGTAAAGTGCATTAGGAGGATATACAATGCCGTGGTAGATGCCAAAATAAATATGAACTTTCTACTATGATTTAAAAAGTGTGCTAGTGAAAAAGCCTCAAAACCTTATGTAATTCAGACACTGCTGTAATTTCACATAATCAAAAATTTTAAGTCACACGCACAAAGCCTAATCTCCACAAACATACAAATCTCCACCAAAAACTGCATTTGTATAGCTTACAGTGATTGCAAATCGTGTATTTATAATTCCGCTTCCACATCCATGCCTTAAAGTATCTCCATAACGGATTGACATAAAATACGGAAACTGTCCCAAGGCCTACAAATGAAAAATTAATATTTCAATAGTATTGTTTGAATTTTTGACTTTATTTTATTTTTACAGCATCGTTTCCTCCAACAATTCTCGGTGCTATGCCAATTTTACAATCTGCAAATGATATTGCAGCTAGAATTAAAATGAACTTCCACATTTTGCGAGTGTGGAATTGGAAATGAAAATTTTAGTTTCGCTTCTGATTTTAAGGCAATGATGAAACTTTTCGTTCATGTTATCGTTAATTTTTTGTTCCTGATAAGACAAGTTAATGAAATTTTGATTGGGCATGGTAACAGATATCTTAATCCATAATCTAAACTTTTCTTTATCTAATTTCACTTTTTAAAAACATTTTAATCTTTTAGATTAATCCGAAATATGAATCAGCTAAAGGAAGACGATGAAAATAGATAAAAAGTTGTTGTCTTCGTCATTCAAAAAATGTTTTGTCTCGTTATAGGTTTTATTGATTTTTAACGCATTTTTGAAACTTGTTTCTAAAAGGTAGCTTAATAATACGCTTTGTTCGGCTGCTCGGATGAAGAAAAACTTTTTAACCAGACATCGTAGAGAGCTCGCGTTTGTTTTATTATCTCCGTTACTATCGATTTATTGGCCCATCGAATGCTTAAAAGTCTTTAGATCATGTATTTATACTATAATTAATGTTTATGTAGTGCAACTTTTAGCGGAAAATTTCAAATTTTTTCTAGCCGTTGTAAAATTTGAATTCCAAAAAAACGTTAAATAATTAACCCTTTCTGTATGTAAATTCATTGCAATAAATTGTTAAGTATACTTCAATTAATGATTTTTTAGTGCATTAAATCGTGGTAAATAATAAAGCTTTTCTATAAAAGCATTTATTGAACGCAAAATAATAAGATAATCAAATACTGATCGCTGACAAAAAAATACGTTTAATTCCCTCGATCAATAACACGAGGACTTCTGTAATTTTTTTTGTAAGAATGTCGTAGAAAATAATTTGTTTTGTTTTTAGCAGAGCTCAATGTCGATTCGAGTTGACTCAGAGTCAACTTCTTCATGCAAAAAAAAAATACCGAGAAAAGTTGAATCGACTCGATTTTAAGTCGAGTCGAGTAAACTCGAGTCAGCTCAAACCCCATCGACTTCTAGCTCTAGTTTTTAGTAATTTTTTTGTGGTGAAATGTTTATTTCTGTTTAAGCCAGGTTTTTATGAGTTTTTTTTTTCCTTAAATTTTGCAAAACTTCGGAAAGTTTCTTTAATATTTGAATGGGTTGATGTGTGAGAATAACGATTGAAGCAAACTGCCTTTAGTAAACTTAGACAGTTTGGTGTGTAAATGAACATTTAAAATTTAGATATTTCAACTTTCTTGAAGTCGCAAGATTGAAATGAAATCGAAAAAATTGATTAGGTTTCATTTTGTAGAAGATTACTTTTGACATTTTTCCATCACCACAAAATTATTTACTCAGAAGGAAAAAAAATGCAAACGTAAGAAAATAATAATCTTATGAAAAATTCTAAAATTAAATCCAATGCTTTTCATTTCGAGAAGCTTATCATCAGTTGCTGACTCATTTAAAAAAAATTTTTTTCATGCCATTTAAATCCATTCAGCTCAAAAGTTTATATGTGTCTAATTTTTCTCCCTAGCACAAAGCCCAATGCTAGCAAACAGAAATTTTTGAGTTCTTATTATTCGAACTTCGAATTTTTAAGGTTCTTATTTGTCGAAAATCGAATCTTCGAAGTTCTTATTTTTAAAAAAATTCGTTGTGAATTATTATTTTTCGAGTAATTTGTAATTTTAGTGAACATTCCTACTAGTTTTTATGATTATGATAATCACTGTGAGGAAATTGCATTCCTTTAATGTTCATGCTTTAAAAAACAGCTAGTTTAAAAATAAATTAAAAAATAACGGACTTTCTTATTTTGAAATTTTAAAAAAATACTGCGCGAAAATTTTGAAATTTTTTTGTTTGTAACGGACTCTGTTCTCTTTGCTAACATTGGCACAAAGCAATCAATAATGATTGAATTTTTCTCAATCGAGATAGGAAAAGTTAATCCATTGGGGTTAAAACTCATCGAGAACAATTTTAGTTCTTGACATTTCCATTCGTTTTGTTTCGTCTGTGATAGTAATTTTCATTAATGGGAGAATAAACCAACAAACATGGGTTTAGGATTTTTTAATAAATAGATTAAAAATAAAAAAACTTTTAAATGTCTAAAAAGCTTTTGTCTTGTTTATGTAAGAATACAAAATAAAATCGCTTTAAAATCATTCAACTGAGTTTTCTTATGAACTTCAATGTTGAAACCAATCGATTTTGGTATTCTCTTTTGCAGCAACATTAAGATTTAAGTTTTGCAACTCAATTTAATCTTAATGTTATTAATTTATTCAATTAAATTAGATGTTCTGCAATCAGCTTATATGCCCACAGATAATCTTTTAATCCATCGTGAATATTTTTGTTTTTATTATTTTTTTGACCACAATTTTATCAACTCATTCATTATTAATTCATTCTGGATTTTAACTGACCACCTCAACGTGACATTCAAGATCGTTTGCAACAGATTAACCTCAACATATATTATATGTATCTCCAATCACTTAATCTTTTGACGTTAAACAGAAAAATAATAAATTTTGATCGTAACCACTTGCTGGATTAAATTTATTGGCAGAAGCAGCATCATTGCTTTTTTATTTTGTTGACATTTATTTTAAGTGGATGTTGATTTATATTCAATTGAGTGTTTTACGGTAGATTGATGATGAATAAGGATGTGCGAATTTTCATGGTCAGAATAAGAGGATTGGGATTACCTTAATGGAAATATTTTGTAAGAAAATTGTAAATTGAAATTTGATGAGTCTTGCATCAGGACTTAATATAATAATTTCCTAGATTTGAATGCCAAATCGCTAAAAGATACACGTGTTACGCATGCTGTGTGCCTTTTTTTCAAGGTGAAAACATTCAACTTTAACCTAATCTTTTATCAATAAAAATTCAAATCAGCAAAGCCTCAAAAAGTGCTGTTCACTGTAATGACCATAATAAAAGAATCGTTAACTGAGAATATGAATGGAAAACGCACAACTTCTTTTTGTTAATCTTCTATATCTCTAGATGGAATCCATTTTTGAAAATAATTGCGATAAATAATATTGATTTTGGAAGTTTTGTAGTGAATTAGAACCATTTTTAAGATGGTAGCTTCAAACGTTTATTGTACCATCGAATTACTGTTTGCTTTTTAGTGCTAAATTTTCTTACTGTTACACTTTTTTTAAATTATGGAGCAAATATGGTAGTAAAGTGAAAAATAATGCGATCTATTAAAAGTAACCAAAATACTTTTTAAACTATAATTTAAATATATTAATTTTAATTAAGGAATCATGTGTTCAAACATATTCAATTTCTCTGGACTCGACCTTACGTCCTTAACAAAGAAAATTACAGATTTCGGGTCTGTTATAAAACTATTCAGCTACAAAGTCTTTAATCTCGCACTGGCAAACTTGCCTCCATATAACTCGATACTTCAGATTCCACTCTACTATGATACAACATTATTTCAAATTGCTTTTAACAAAAATTGTAAAAATCAATTTCGAAATCTGGCTTGACATGCTGTATCTCATTGTTATTTCAATCCTTTCTCTCAATCCTCCCAATATTAGCTCTACTGATAAACTTTCGAATTTCTTACATATCAAACATGCATGAATGTAAATGTCTAGTTAATTTCAATCGAATGAATAAAATATAAACGTAAATTGAAATGTCAGGTAAATTTATTTTTTTAAAATCTTTTGCAACTTTTGACAATTTTTTATAATAAAAAATTTGTTTATTTTTCGGGTAGCTTACTTTGAAAAAGCTTTTTAAAAATTATCCAATAACTATAATAACTACTATTTGAGTCTTAATGCGTTTCTCTGTATCTATTTATGTAATAATTTATAATCTTTTTCTAAGCTATTTGAGTTCTTGAAATTCTTATGTATGTCATGATGTTTATTTTTAGATTTATTTTATGCCTTCGTAAGGTGTACGTGAAGATTGAAACATATTTTGTGATACATTTTTGATGTTTTATTTGCTTCCCTTGTAAAGTTATTGTATTATTTTAGTAGATTATATCAAAACTGTCAAAATATTTATTGGCAAAAAAAAAACAAGTTAATTATTGCGAAAATAATAAAATAACTTAAAAATGTTATTCTCATGAATTTAAGTCATCAAAAATCCTACAGAAGCAAATTTCATTTTTTTGTTGTTCTTCAAAATTTAAGAATAATTTTTCACTGCCTAATTTATTTCCAATAAAACTTCAACACACATACACATCATTTCAAAGTGTTCCTTTTAAACAGAATCGGAATTGCCAGTGAAATTTTTTCCATGCTCTTTAAATATTGATATTTTTTTTCTTATTTATTATTTCGAGACTTTTTTTCCCTCTTAAAGTTTTCCTCCCAATTGAATTCAAAATATTTTCTGTTTGTTGTTTCTTCTTGCACGAAACAGATGTTGATGCTCATGCGAAGCTTTTCATAAACAACTTTTTTCATTCAATTTTCAAAAGAAGTTTTCTTTTTCTTGATGTAAAAATTTACTGCGGGAGATTTGTTTGTAGGGGAATAAAAAGTTTTTTTTCAGGTTGAGCTTTTCAATCAGCTTTTTGTAATTTTTATATTACTTTTATGGGTGTGGATACATTTAGATTAAGATCATTATTGAGATGATTATTATAATATTTTACTCTGAAAATAATTTTATTATTCCGATGGGAATTAAAATTGTGAAGGCTCAGAACAAAGACATGCAGTGACACCCATGCAACGTTTAACATATCTGAAAATACTTTGACATTTAGAATCATAAGAAAAATTTTTCACGCTTTTGTTATGCGACTTTTGGCATTTATGGATGAAAAACAACATTTTCTTAAATTTTTCATGCAATTTAATACCTTTTGGGTAGATAAACAATTTTAAGAAGATGAATAAAGTTGGATAGAATAAAAGAAGTAATTAAATTTCTGGGAAATTGTAATGAAATAAAGAAAATTTTTGATTAAAACTAGATCATGATTTTGTAAGAAAATTTTGCAGAAATTTAAGATTTAGCTGGTTCGACCATGGTTAAAGGAATGATCAATAAATTATTTAAAACTTAATCCAATCGCAAATCGAATAACAATTGTACTTCG